GCTAAATTAGGGACGGCTAGCGCAGGTAGCCCTTGTGTAGCTTTGCGCGAAATTCAAAAAACAAACTTAGATTTTCCAGAGTATTAAGGGAAATCATTGTTGTTTTCAGAATGAAGATTAAGGGTTCGAATTGTAATGATGAACAGGTAGACAATCCAACAGCATTCTCTCATTCTTGAGCTTTATTTCAAAAATGAATAATCCTTCACTGCTGCTCAAAGAGGTTACTGTCGAGAACTTGGTGTTTATGTTGCTCCTTCTGAACAGCCTGGCATGGCCAGGTGGTTAGAACGCTTAATTCGCAATCTGAGGGTCGCAGGTTCAAACCTCCGACCCAACAAATATGCTCACCCTTGCAACCGTGTGGGTGGTATAATGTGACGATCAATCCCACTATTCGTTGGTAAAAGAGTAGCCCAAGTGTTGGCAATGAGTGGTGATGACTAGCTGTCTTCTCTCTAGTCTTTCACTTCTAAATTAATGACGGCTAGCGTAGACAGCCCTTGTGTAGCTTTGCGCGAAATTCAAAACAAACCAATCCTTCTGAACATGTCCTCAACGGAATTGTGGATTTAAGTAGATGGAGACACCTGTCACACAAAACGAGCAACAATGGCAGTGTTGTGTGGATTGTTCCTAAACGCAGACTTCTTTTCGTGGGATTTCTTAAACGAAAGAACGTAGATTAACAGGCCACGGACACTACAGGATTTGAAAAGTAACATAAAAACAGAAATTAATGGCCTGACTCAAGAAACTTTGACCACTGCAATGAAAGGGGTCATCCTTAGAGTACGCCAGTGTGTCTCAGTTCGTGGTGGACTTAATTGTTACTACAAATCTTATTAAGCTAAAGTTTCATAAATAATAAACATAAATTATACCAACAAATGATGTTGTCGATTATTGCAGTTTAAAACCGGTACACTTCTTTTGGCGGACCGTGTAATTTTTTTCTCGCATTGTAATATCCTTATATCGGTGTGAACTTAACAAATTGTAATAGTCTTCAGCGTAACAAGTGGAAAACAAGTATTGGCTTAATTTTCTCTAGCTTAGCTTGCTTTCAGATGTGTACTTAAATGGTTACAGTTTTCACCATAACAACTGGAAGACAAGCAGTGGCTTAATTTTCTCTATCTTAACTTGGTGTACTTAACAAATTGTTATAGTCTTCACCATAACACGTGGAAGACAAGCAGTGGCTTAACTTTCTCTACCTTAACTCGCTTTCTGATGTGTACTTAACAAATTGTTATAGTCTTAACCGTAACAAGTGGAAGACAAGCAAAGGCTTAATTTTCTCTAGCTTAACTCACTTTCAGATGTGTACTTAACAAATTGTTATATTTTTCACCGTAATAAGTGAAGACAAGCTGTGGCTTACTTTTCTCTAGCTTAACTTGCTTTCAGATATGTACTTAACAAATTGTTGTAGTCTTCACTGTAACAAGTGGAAGACAAACAGTGGCTTAATTTTGTCTATCTTAGGTTGCTTTCAGATGTGTACTTGACAAATTGTTGTAGTCTTCACCGTAACAAGTGGAAGACAAGCAGTGGCTTAATTTTCTCTAGCTTAGCTCACTTTCAGAAGTGTACTTTTACATGTTAACCGCTGAATATATATTTTAAAATTAGTAAATACTATTCAATAAAATACATATAGAAAGAATTATCAACTTTGGTGTATTATATTTGTTTAAAAAAGGAATTTTTCAAACCATGTTTGTCTTTATCATTCGTTTCAACAAGTCCAAAAGCTGCACGTAATACTGCTCTCACATCGTTGGTATTTTCAATAAAATCAGCCAACAAACTGTAACTAAACACATATAGAAAAGAGGTATTATCTGCTGATATGTGGGGAAACTGTACAGAAAAAGCGTTGCTTAGGACATAGTAAGCTGTACTTAAAATAGCGAATAAGGGGTGTTCTCTTTTATGAATAAATACAAATATAGAAATTCACACAAGTTTTTAATCGGTTGTACACAGTAAAACTTTTGCTTATTTTGTTTACAGCCTTCACCTGTTTTACCTGATGATAGTTCTTTCTGATATTAAATAAATATGGAAATCACTTTATTCGAGATAATTTACATATAAAAAAAATGAAATAAGTTCTATATTCATCTAGAAATTTTTGTATTTCAGAAACCACTTGACTATGTACTTTTTCTTTAATTAAAATTGCTATTTTAAGTTTCGTGTAAGTACTGAAACCTTAAGAATAGATATGTACTAGTTCTAAAAGTAATTTTTGTTTTAAGTAAAATTACTATCTTAAGTTTCCTACAAATAGTGAAATCTTAAGAATGGATATGTAGTAATTGTAAAGTAAATATTTCCATCTACATAAGCAATGTACTCAATCCTGAAACTATCGTAATAATGGTGTTCATTAAACGTAGAGAGCATTTCATCTTAGTTCTAGTTCTTTAGAATTAACCTCACAAGAATTCATCGTATCAATTGATAAAGGGATTGTATGCGGATGCAAGCTGAACACTGAATTTGAATAAAAATATATATTCAATTAATGGCCTATGTAATGAGATGTGAACTTACACAATTTGGTATGGTGAAGAGGCGTATATTTTAAAACATAAAAACTTCTGGTGAGGCGTCCTTTTCCAAGACATTGGCTATTAAGACATAACAGAGGTAAAGGCTTCAGAATCTTTATATCTAACTTATTCATTATGTCTAAAAACCTATCAGCTAATAAGCCTACAAACAGGGATATTAGCGATTGAAAACCAGCATTTGGTAGTTACAGTTATAATCTTTTGGGTGTTTATAGTACATAAGTACATTTCCAGTCATGTTATATGTAACACTTAGTTGACAGTGGTATACAGAAATAAGGTTGAACTAGATCAACATTAATTTAGTCTCATTCAGATTATTATATTTAAGTACCCATTAAAATATTAAGGTTTATATTAAATTTAATATTGTTTTATAGTGCTGATTTTAATCGCCTATGAGCAATATGGTATAGCACTAGGTATGTATATATATATATATACACACATCATAATATCTAGTGTCCATTCTGCGACTTCTGTTCATTACTAGATATCATGTTATATATATATATACCTTAATTTCTCCAATTAAAATTATTTTCAAAAACAAATAACAGGAAATGTATAATTTTAGCCATTTATACCTATTTTCGCACTACGATAGTTTTTACTTCGATACAGATTTTGTTGACTTACAGTGTAAACAATAAAAACATGTTGTTGGTTTCAGTTCACAAATAATATTTCTTATAAACGATATAACAAAGTTATTAAATATATTTTCTTATGTTTTCACTACAAGAGTCTCAACCAATCGAGTTTTGTAAAAAAAAACAATAACAAAAAAAACGATATATTACCGATTTTATGTATAAAAAAGACTTACGAGAAATTTAGGTTCTTTGTTCATAACAGATGCCTGCAGTGTGAGGTTCTCAACTAGTTGAGAGGCAACCTTCTGGGCTATTCTATGTGTTAAAACCATCTTGGAAAGAGTAATTACTACATAGTTGGGTTATGTATATTATAGGCTCTTAATATCAGAAAAACTGTCAGTTCATTAGTAAAATGTACTCAAGTCTAGTTTGCTATACAAGATAATTTATAAATTAAAAAAAAAATGTGTCAAAAACTTGATTATTTCAACTTAGTTGAACCAATATTATTGTCTCAATCATATTGATTAACATTAAATAATGAAATATTATAGATTAATATTTCTTTAAATATTATAATAACACAAAATATTCATTTCATAGATTTAAACAAGTGTTTCGATATACATTGGTATCTTTGTTAGGATTTCTAGCTGTAATAAAACAAAATTAACTGACAGATAAAATTAAAATGGCTAAATTATAAATTAATATTTATTTTTACTCTATTTTTGTAATTTCTGAAGAAACAGTGGTTGTTGTATTTCGGTATTGTGTCTTGACTTTTTTTTATCAATTCTGAAAAAAAAATGTTATTGTATTCCAGTTGTGCACAGTTACTCTTTATTTTATCAGTTCGGAAAGAAACAACTGTGACAAGTTGTTTTTGGTAGTGTATAAACGCTGATAAAAAGGGGTTAAGAAAAAAATCATTTTGTACAGTACATTTTGTCTGGTTTTTGACATCGCTGATCTAACAGCTACCAGAACAAAGAAAATATTATATATTATATAATAGGACATATTATTTAGCTTTAGTATATATTTTAATTATGGCACAACTTTCATGGTTACAAATTTTATTTAACATTACCCACAGATTTTTAATCCCACATAAATGAGTGTTTATATATCTTTGCTTAAAACATTTCACGGAACGTTTACTTCTTTCACAAAGATGTGATAATCTAAAATCATAAATGTGAACTTATTGTTAATAGGTAAATAAAAAACACCAATTTTAACAGATAAAGAAGGACGTATTGTAGAAGCGTCACACCTACCTCTATCCTTTTTTGTTCTTTTGCAACTGTTTCATCAGTTTCAGTTGCCAAACCATTCAGAGCCACGCAAATAGCTTTAGTTTTTGTTGAAAAGTGGAAGGCCTGTATCTCCCACGTCTCTTTAAATATCCCTGACTCACCTGACTTAAAAGTAATGTTGATTTGAAAGGAACCTCCAGGTAGAACAGAACCTTATAATACAGGATGAAATATTAGAGTCTACATAATGATGTTTTTACAGTTATAATTGTAGCTTGATATTATGGTTATGGCAGAGCGATAGATAGACGTTGACATAATCAAAATGTCTTTTTTTATGCCTTGTCGTTTTAACTGAAACATGTAACAAACACTATCACAGGGAAAATAAGAACATACGATAATCTCGTATATCTTGAATCCTAATAATTTCATAAAATTAATTATATATAAAAAGGTATTTAAAATTTCTAGAAATGATAATATATGTACATATATACACAATTTACCAATAAATAAATGTACACCCATTCCAGAAAGAATGCCTTTTTATCAAATAAAAAACATGAAACCAATGGTACAAGATTACAAGTATTTAGTGGATTTTCCTGTGCTATATGTAAGATAGAAAACGGTTACACATCGTACTCTACGAAATCTAAGCCTGTGTGACTGCATTCTCATTTTAGCGATGAACTTGATGAGAGTTTCCTTAGAAGTTGTATGTTTAGAAAAATTTGACAGGGAACGTTTAAGGATGGACCACATTTGATAGAAATCATATTCATCTACTGACCTGGTCATGGTAGAGAGTTAGTATCCCGCCACTCTTTTATGAATGATTGAGTGAGCAAGAGCCCCATCATTGCCTTGTATTGGTCACTAGCACGTAAAAAGACTTGCTTGAAAATTATAACGTTTCTAGCAGCAGTGACCATCCTTTCAAATACCACCAGCTGTGATCGACTAGCTTTTCAAATGCCACCTCACACCATAACAGAAATATTGCCGCATTTTTAAAAATTTTTTTTACAGATGGTTCAAAGAACGTTTCTGAGGGGATAGTTGTCAAGCCTGTCCACTGTTCAAGATTTTAGGGATGTGATTTTCTGAACAGCGTAAATTTCAGTTGGGAGTTATTGTTGTTGCCTTATCAGTACAATGCTACACAATAAGTTAGTCTGCACTCTGTTTACTGCTGGGCATCGAAACTTGGATCTTAATGTTGTAAGTTCGTAAACTTACCGCTTACCAACCAGGGAACTCAGTTGAAATATATTTTTCTAATGTTTGTTTAACTTTCTGAGGTAGTGACAGAAAGATCGCGTTTCTTAGAAATGTATTTTCTAGGCTGGTATTGCTTATTGGGGAATGACAATTTACTTGAATTCCATGGAGAGAATAGGTAGGTGAAATCTTCAGATCTAAGTGGTTGAACAAAAGTACCAACATGTTTGAGTCTTCGTGTTTTGTCTACTTGCAGTTTGGCAGCGGATTTATGGGTTTTGATGAATCGTAGATTTGTTGTAAGAAGTACGAAGTTGGCAAACGCAAACCATCAATAATAATCAAGAAAGTTTTGTAATGGCGAAGTCAATCTCTGTTCCTTACCGAGCAATACCTATATATATATCTTGGATTATGATGTCGATTAGTATTCTCGGGGAGTGTATATTTATTTACTGGTAAGATGCATATACCTATATGTACATACATACTTTCTTTGAATGTTAAGTATTTTTATAATCTACTTTTCTTTTGTTTCTTTAAAAGAATAAGTAGCTCATTTTTTGGTTTTAAAGACAACACTTAACATTTCCTTAATTTCGTTAACAAATTTTTTATAATAAATGCATTTCAGTTTCATATCTTTACTTTCAAAGCCGATAAAGTTACATATTATATTTCAGATTAAATAAGAATTTAATACGATAATGAAGAGTTTGGAAGATGCATATTGAAACAAATAAGAAATTTCTTATAGTAAATAATATAACACAGAACTAACCTTTCCTATGATCAACAAAGAAAACCGGTTTGAGCAATCTTATGCGTTTTTCAAACGAAGAATTTTTTGAACACCTCTGTAACAAAGAAAAATAAATATATGGTTAATAAATACATTACTAACTTAGGACATCGTCATTACTCTAACAAATAATAAAGTCAGTTTGGCTAGATATACATTTACATAATACACACAAAAGTTAACACACAAATTAAAATATTACATTCAGTACCTAGCAATGTCGAGCAGTTTAAGTGTTATGTAATAAGTTAAAAGAAATGTGCGATAGGGTGCTCTATACATATTATTCCTAGGCTAGTTATGAGTTATATATATTTTTCAAATAAAATAATAACATACTTAAAAACGTTCATATCTTCAATAAAGGTGGTCGTTTTATCCTTTCTGGCCTGCATTTCAGTATATTTGTATAAAAATTGAGCTTCTGTGGTTTTCATTCACAGAATAATAGAATATCTTGTGATACTTAAACGTGACTTGAAAAAATTAGTTAATGAATGACTTTTATCGCAGAAACTGCAACACAAAAACAAGTTTAATCACATGATAGCAAAACTAGAAAATAGAAAGAAGTGTCTAACATTGTTGTAAAGAAAAGTATATTGTTAACGGACTTCATCCCCACAGAGATCGTGGTGGGGCGGGGTGGAATTGCGATATGGACTACATACTTTTGTTTCATTTTCAATTATTTTAACCCCTTATTTGTATTCCCAAAGAGGAAAGTCTATAATAGTAATTGCTGTTGTAATGAAGTTCTCAGAAGTTATGTGTATTGATTATAGTCGCTAATCTATCAAAGGAATACGTAGTTAGCTTGAAATTTTTTTGTTTTCAAAGGGATTATAAAAATGTTATTTCAAAGGTATTTCTGACATTATAGAGTTTTGGCTTTAAAGAAACTCTGCCTGTTTTCAAAGTCATTGTTGATCTGAACAAACCAAAAAAAAAGACTATATTGGTAGGGATTCGGGATTTAATGACCACAATGTTCGAAAATTAAGTAAATTTCCTTTGCTCCACCCATGTAATAAGTGGAAGACAAGCAGTGGTTTAATTTTCTCTAGCTTAATTCGCTTTCAGATGTGTACTTAACATATTGTTATAGTTTTTACTGTAGGAAGTAGAAAACAAGCAGTGGCTTGACTTTCTCTAGCTTAACTCGCATTCAGATGTGTACTTAATAAATTGTTATAGTTTTCACCGTAACAAGTGGAAGACAAGCAGTGGTTTAATTTTCTCTATCTTAACTCACTTTCACAGTGGATTAATTTTCTCTAGCTTAACTTGCTTTCAGATGTGTACTTAACAAATTGTTGTAGTCTTCACCAAAAGGGGAATAGAAGAACGGTGAAGATTACAACAATTTGTTAAGTACACATCTGAAAGCGAGATAAGCTTGAGAAAATTAAACCACTGCTTCTCTTTCACTTGTTACGGTGAAGACTACAACAATTTGTTAAGTACACATCTAAAAGGGAATTAAGCTAGAGAAAATTAAGCCACTGCTTGTCTTCCACTTGTTTCGGTGAAGACTACAACAATTTGTTAAGTACACATCTGAGAGCAAGTTAAGCTAGAGAAAATTAAACCACTGTTTGTCTTCCACTTGTTACGGTGAAGACTACAATAATTTGTTAAGTACAGATCTGAAAGCAAGTTAAGCTAGAGAAAATTAAGCCACTGTTTGTCTTCCACTTGTTATGGTGGTGAAAACTATAAAAATTTGTTAAGTACACATCTGAGAGCAAGTTAAGCTAGAGAAAATTAAGCCACTGTTTGTCTTCCACTTGTTATGGTGGTGAAAACTATAAAAATTTGTTAAGTACACATCTGAAAGCGAGTTAAGCTAGAGAAAATTAATCCACTGCTTGTCTTCCACTTGTTACAGTGTAAACTATAACAATTTGTTAAGTACACATTTGAAAGGGAATTATGCTAGATAAAATTAAGCCACTGCTTCTATTCCACTTTTTACGGTGAAGATTACAACAATTTGTTAAGTACACATCTGAGAGCAAGTTAAGCTAGAGAAAATTAAGGCACTGTTTGTCTTCCACTTGTTATGGTGGTGAAAACTATAACAATTTGTTTAGTACAC